GTTAAAGATAAAAAAATAAAATTAACAAATAATAATTTTAATGTTTGGCCAAAACAATAATAACAATTTTAATGTGAGAATCAATTTAATTTAATATAAATATATATGAAATATTTATAATATATATTATATAATAAAGGGTTTTCAAAATTTTTTTGGGAGAGCCTTCGTCCCCAAGCCCCACTGGACGTTCATTATTGAGTATGTTTAATTTTTTTATTAATTTTTAATATGTTTGAAGATTTGGACCTTCATTTCTATATTAGTTGGGTATGTATAGACCATAAATACTTTTTAAAAAATTTAAAAATTGAAAAAACTTAAATTTCCTTTGAGTTATTTGAATTTCAATAAAAAAAAAAAAAGAGTTCACACCCATGAAATCATGTTAGAACCAGATCCAGTTTTTCATTTTCCATTGCCATTTCCAGGTCAGATTCCCCAATTCTTTGTTGCATTAGTCAGGAAACATAATATTTACAATTCTTTTTATTATAATTATTCAATAATAATAATAATAAATTATATAAACGTTCATCATTTATAAATATAAATTTTATATAAAATTTTGATTGATTTTATAAAATTTTAAATTATTATTAATTAATTATGCTATAATAATTATAGAAAAATGCTTCCATCGATCAAGTTTACAAATTCTCTCAAGAGATTTGCAACTAATACCGGCAATGAAAGTAAAGGTGGCAAAAGGAAATCAATTTTTCAAATTATTTTGATGAAGCAATCATTATTATTATTATTATTATTATTATTATTATTATTATTATTACAGTTTATTCTTTTAGGAGAGCACGTATACTGTTTATTTACAATTTTAAGAATAAATATAAATCAAATCAAACAAAATTTATCAACATCCCATTGTTAGTGAGTAGAAAAAAAAAAAATGAAAACTAGTTAAATTCATCTTGTGAAATAAAGCAGAAACTTTTTAGTTGTCAGAGAAACTAGAGCCTTGTCACTCTTTTTCTACACCTCAAGACACGGTATCATCTTTTATCAGTTTACTTCTTGTCCCATAGTCAAGGCTCTTCACCTCAGGACACGGCATGAGATTTTCTAGATGGCAGCAAACGGATTTCTTAAGGTCCGACTAATAATAATAATAATAATTATTATTATTATTATTATTTAATATGTAAATTAAAATTTTATTTATTTTTATTATAAATTTTTATATTTTTAGATTAATATTCATTGTAATAAATAAAAAAATAAAATTTGTGTTTTTTTTAATTTTTATAATATATTTTATAAAATATATTTTTTATTTCTTTTTTGTTATGATTTTAATGGATTAATTTTATTTTTAATTCAAATATTTTTTATGTAATTTATAAAAAATTATTTGCCTATTAATAAATATATTTATTAATTTAATAATTTAATAATTATTATTATAAAATAAATAAAAATAATATTAATATTTTATAAATTATTATCTTTAAACAATGTTGATATTATTAATTTGTATAACTATTACAATATACATTGTTATTTTAGTACTTTCAAACAAAATGTTATGTGATTTTTAGTTGAATCAAATATAATGACATTTAATTTTTAAAAATTAATAATTGTTAATATAACAAAATAAATTTAATTTATAAGTGATAAAATCACATTGACAATAAAATCACCTAGAAGATTATATTATCATAATAATCTTAAAAATATACATAATACTACTTATAAAAAATAAAGATTATAATAGTCAAATAAAAGTGTCCACGTGACACCCATTTGCCTTTTTTGTCATTTCACTTTTTTATTTTTATTAATTAGATAAATTTTATAACGAAAAATATCAATTAATAAATATGTCAAAATAATTTATATCCAATAAATTTTGATTCGTCTTGATCTGATAAAGATTAATTTTTTTTTAAATCGAGATAAAATTGAGACAATTTAAGTTTTTTTAAAAAATGATATTAGATCAGAAGCATATTTACAAAATTTTATTTCGATCAATTTTGAAGCACATATTAATATATATTTTATAATTAATTTAATTTTACACATATATTATAGTAATAAAATTATTTTTCACCTTAATTTAAGGAATTTTTATTTTAAGTTCAATATATGGTGTTAACGTAACATTCTCCATAAGTTCTTTTTATTTTTCTTATATTTTTTGTTTTTTTTTTTTCTGATTTTTAGTTTCTCTTTTCTTTTCTTTTTTTGTTGATATTTTTTTTAATTAAATAAATTTTATAACTAAAAAAAGCCAATTAAAATATTTATGTATCCTTTTTATTTATTTTTTAAAAATTTTTAATTAAATAAATTTTTTTAAAAAATGATAAGTACAAATGATAAAATTATAAAAAAAATTTGATACAAGGAAATACGTAGTTATATTTCTAGTGAAAGCAAACATCGCATATGGAAATCAAATTTCCATTTTATTTTGATGAAGCAATTTTTTTTTCCTTTTTACAGTTTATTCTTTTGGGAGAGTACTATACTATTTATTTACAATTTTTAAAATATATATAATCAAATCAAATAAAATTTATCGATACCCCAATGTTAATGAGTAGAAAAATGAAAAATAATTAAATTCATCTTGTGAAATAAAGCAGAAACTTTTTAGTTGTCAGAGAAACTAGAGCCTTGTCGCCTTTTTTCTACACCTCAAGACACGGTATCATCATTTATCAGTTTACTTCTTGCCCCATAGTCAAGTTTCTTCGCACCAGCACACGGAATGAGAATTTTTAAATTGGCAGCAAACGGATTTCTTACGGCCCAATTAAGATATTCAATAATGTAGGAAAATTATTATTCGTCATAAGTTTTAAAAGAAATATTAGAATATTGAGAATATATTACTTATAATTATTATAATTTAATTAATTATAATTTAATATTATGTTGAATTCATAAAATTTTATATAAATTTTACATTTTTAAGTGAATTTTTATATAATTTTTATTTAAGATTGATTAATTATAGTATTATAGTAAAAAAAATTATATGTGAAATGTTCCCATTGCAAATTTTAAGAATAATAATGATTAAATTTGATCTAATTTTTTTGAATAATGTATAATATTATAAATTTTTAAAATTCAATCTTAATCTGAACTATTTTTTTTAAATCGATTTAATTTAAATTAAATTTTAAACGTTTGGTTTGGATTCATCGATTTTTTAATTTTAATTTTTTATATATTATTTAAATAAAAATTTAAATATATTTAAATAGATTTATATAAAAAAATAATTATTTTTATTTTATAAAAAATTAAAATATATATAAAAATTAATAAAAATATATAATTCAAATTAATTGAATTTTTTTTTATTTTTTACATATCCATCTAAAATTTGATCCATATTTAATATATACATTTAATATTTAATCTTGATTTAAATCGAATAAAAAAATAAATTCAAATTAAATTAAGCACTATAATTTTAAATTTATTTATTTATTTTTTTCCCTCTTAGCAAATCCTATATACAAACCTGATAGTAAAAAGCACTCTCACTCTCAGCCCGAGTCCGAACGCCAATGCACCATTTGATTGTGCTGGCTCTTCAACCTCTATTACCGACCCCGTCTTCCCATTTCACAACCACCAACCGATTGGATGTCTTGTGGTGGGGTCGGTAACTTGATATCTTAGGCTGAAATTTTCAGTCAGCCCCAACAATAATAAAAATGAATATATATACATATATATATATATTTATAGAAATAGAGGGAAAGTATTTAGTTTAAAAAATATGGCTCAATTATAATTATATAAAAAAAAAAACCTAGGAAAAAAGCAGGGACCCTATGCTAATCCTGGCCATATGACTTTCGAAGTCACAAAACCTGAACCATTTGACGGAAGATAGCAGCAAGATAAATCAGAGTTCATATTGCACTTTAGTTCTTGTTGATGGACGAAGCACTATAAAATGCAAACCAATCTCACCAATTAAGATATTGATTCGAGTTGATGGAGCTATCGAGCAAGCATTTTAAAATATTTAGCTCTTTTTTTCTTGTTTACGTTGAAGTTATAATTCTTCTCTCATGCTTCAACCTGCAGGGGCTTAACTCGTTCAGTTTAGCAACTCGTGTAATTAGTGGAAATGTGACAGATCGACAAGCATTATTGGAGTTCAAAGCCAAGATAACTGGTGATCAGCTCAAGGTTATGCAATCTTGGAATAGTTCCACACAATTCTGTCAGTGGCATGGTGTTACATGTGGTCGCAGACATCAGAGAGTCACCAGGTTAGAACTACAATACCTAAAACTTGTGGGCTCTATATCACCATACATTGGAAATTTGAGCTTTCTCAGGGTGTTGAATCTTGAAGGCAACAGCTTCAACAACGAAATTCCCCAAGAAATTGGACGTTTAAGAAGATTGGAAATATTACAACTGTCCAATAACTCTATAAGTGGTGAAATTGCTTCCAATATATCAGGTTGTTCTAAGCTTACATTTCTTCACATGAGAGGCAACCAGCTAACCGGAGAAATACCTGGTTGGCTTGGTCTCTTGTCAAGAATTAGTTTTGATATATATTTATCAATACATTTTGTATTTCAAGATTGCGATATATTTGTTAGTATTCTTTTTCCAAAGACTATTGAGATGAAAAAAACAAAAAACAAAAACCAAAAGATGAATCGATAATAAAAGTGAAAAAAAAAAAAAAGGTTGAAGTGGAGGAAAAAATATTCAGAATAGCAAGTATAAATGGCTCAATTATGGTCAAAATCCAGTATGAATGACAACTCCAAGAAGATGCTTCCAATTAAAGCAGGACGGCAGATGCAGTTTGATAAATCACCTTCCAATTAAAGCTGGGGCCCTTATGCAATCAATTGACTGCGACAGGGGATAAAGTTGGATGATATCAGAGTTCAAATACTTCTTATATTGCACTCAGGTTCTTGTTGATGAACCAAGCACTCTCAGATAAAAACCAATCTCATCAATTAAGAAATTGATAAGGGTTGATGGATCTATCGAGCAAGCATTTGAAAGTGTCCAACTCTTTTTCCCTTGTTTTAATTCTTCTCTCATGCTTTAACCTACAGGGTTTGAACTTGCTTGGTTTAGTAACATCTGTAGTTGGTGGAAATGACACAGATCAACAAGCTTTACTCGAGTTCAAAGCCAAGATAACTGGTGATCAGCTGAGGGTTATGGATTCCTGGAATAGTTCCTCTCACTTCTGTCAGTGGTATGGTGTAACGTGCGGTCGCAGACATCAGAGAGTCACCAGGTTGGAATTGCAATTCATGAAACTCGTGGGGTCTGTATCACCATACATTGGAAATTTGAGCTTTCTCAGGGCGTTGAATCTTGAGGGCAACAGCTTCAACAATGAAATTCCTCAAGAAATTGGACGATTAAGAAGATTGGAAATATTACAACTGGCCAATAACTCCATCAGTGGTGAAATTCCTTCCAATTTATCCGGTTGTTCTAAGCTTACATTTGTTCATATGAGAGGCAACCAGCTAACCGGAGAAATACCTGGTTTGTTTGGTCTCCTGTCAAACCTAAATTTGTTAAGTTTAGCCAACAATAGTTTAAAAGGAAGGATCCCACCATCCTTGGGGAACTTATCGTCTTTGGAGAAACTTTCTTTGGCTAGGAATGGACTAAGTGGGGCTATACCTGAAACTCTTGGGCAACTGAAGAGTCTTTCATTTTTCACTGTGCTACAAAATGCAATTTCCGGTGTTGTTCCTGTTTCAATTTTCAATCTCTCTAATATTAGAGGTTTTGATATTGGGCAAAACAATATTACAGGTACACTTCCCTCTGACTTAGGAATCACCATGCCATATATTGAATTCTTCTCCGTCTCCCTAAACCAAATCTCTGGACATTTTCCGGTTTCAATATCCAATGCCTCAAATCTCAGTGTACTTCAAGTTTCAGTCAACCAACTTAGTGGAAACTTGCCTTCATTTGAAAAGCTGGTTAAAGTATCACGATTTTTCATATACAGAAACCATTTTGGAAATGAGGGAGTAAGTGACTTAAACTTTCTATGTTCCTTAACCAATAGTACCAAACTAGAATATCTAAAGATAGGCGAAAATAATTTTGGAGGGGTATTGCCTGAGTGCATTAGCAATTTGTCAAGCACAATCTCAACTTTTGTAATAGCACAGAACAAAATATTGGGAAGAATTCCAGCTGGAATTGAAAATCTCATCAATTTGGAGGTTTTTGTGGCATCATACAATCAACTATCAGGTTCTATTCCCTTTGATATTGGGAGGCTGCAGAAGCTAAACTGGTTTTATGCTGAAGCTAACCATCTCTCAGGTGCTATTCCCCCTTCTATTGGAAATTTGACGATGTTAAGCATTCTTGGTTTAAGTGGTAACAATCTTCAGGGCAACATTCCTTCAAGTCTAGGTAACTGCCAAAATTTGGTTAGATTGTATCTTTCTGAAAACAATCTTAGTGGATCTATACCCCCTGAAGTAATTGGACTCTCATCCTTGTCCATTGTACTAGACTTATCAAGGAACTATTTAACCGGTGAGCTTCCTGTTGAAGTGGAAAATCTGAAAAATCTAGGTCGCTTTTATGTTTCTCAAAACAGGTTATCTGGTTTGCTTCCAAACAATCTTGGTAGCTGTGAAAGTCTGGAGTACCTGTTCTTGGATGGCAATCTGTTCGATGGGCCCATTCCTTCATCTTTAAGTTCATTGAGAGGTCTTGTGGCATTAGACATATCTAATAATGATCTTACCGGAGAGATTCCAGAATTTTTTGTCAGCTTTGGGTCATTACAGTATTTAAATCTATCTTTCAATGATTTTGAGGGTATGATACCAATTGACGGAGTCTTTAAGAAAGCAAATGCTACATTCGTTGATGGAAACAGTAAGCTTTGTGGAGGCATCCCTGAGTTACACTTGTCCAAATGTAACTTGAAGAAGTCCATCAAAAGATCAAAAAATTCTCTGAAATTGAAACTTGCAGTTGTTTTTGTGATTTTAGGAGTGACTTTGGTATTCTCTTTTCTCCTCATTTTGTGGTTTAGAAAGAAGAAAGAGCAGCCAACAGCAACTTGTGCAGAAAATTCACTTTTAAAATTATCATACGGAAGCATCCTAAAGGCTACTGATGGATTCTCCTCGCAAACTTTGGTTGGTTCAGGTAGCTTTGGTTCTGTATACAAAGGAATTCTTCAAGAAAGTGGAGTAGTTTTTGCTGTTAAGGTACTTAATCTTTTGAATCATAGAGCTTCCAGGAGTTTCTTAGCTGAATGTGAGGCCTTGAAGAACATTAGACATCGGAATCTTGTCAAGGTATTAACTGCAATTTCAGGTTTAGATTATCAAGGCAATGGTTTTAAAGCATTGGTATATGAGTTCATGGAAAATGGAAGCTTGGAGAATTGGCTGCATCCATCTGCTGTAATGAATGAACAGGAGACAATAAGAAACCTGAATTTCTCCCAAAGAGTTAATGTTGCTATAGATGTTGCTCATGCACTGGAGTATCTGCACAATAATTGTGAAACACCAATTATTCATTGTGACCTCAAGCCAAGCAATATTCTACTTGATGAAGAAATGGTTGGTCATATAAGTGACTTTGGCTTAGCAAAGATCCTTTCAGCAGACAGGCTTGTCCATTCTTCTAATCAGTCAAGCTCTCTTGGATTAAGAGGAACTATTGGTTATGCTCCACCGGGTATGTACACTTTATCCAGTTCTTCCCTTTTAATACTTTTTTTTCTTTTTACAACATTATTCAAAAGCTAAACATATAATCTGGAAGCAGTTTTTGCTTAATTATTCTATATTTTTCAAGAGATCTACTCTGCAATTACTGCTATATATAATTTATGATTAATTGTAGAATATGGCATGGGAAACGAGTTGTCAACAAAAGGTGATGTGTATAGCTATGGTATCATCTTGTTAGAGATGTTTACGGGGAAAAGACCAACGAATGAAATGTTCAAAGAAGGTTTCAGCCTTCACAAATTTGTTGTGGCAGCTTTGCCAGAAGGGGTGGTTGAGATTATAGATCCCATTCTTCTTCAAGAGAGAGTCAGACGAGGAACAATGGCAAGAATCACTCTCAATGAAAATGGCATTGTAGATGACACACATCTTGAATTCTTAAATTCAATATTTGAAATAGGACTCAGTTGTTCTGCTGAATTCACCAAGTGAGCGGATGGACATGAGTGATGTTGTTACCAAGCTTTGTTCTGTTAGAGACAAGCTTCATCGAACTCGATTAAATCGTGAGGGCTAAATTCTATATGCTGCTCAATCAGCAGGTAATAATGTGTTCTTATACTGAAGCAAACAATTTGCATTATTCTTAACAGAATATTTAATCGTCACATGACTTAAGGCACTTTAATTTCCTTTACTTTTTAGATAAATGCCGTGGTCAAATGATTTGAACAAGTAAAATACGTTTTTTGCTTATATTCTGTCAAAATAAATATAATGGTTGAGAGATTTCCTTGTTTTCATATGTTTGCAGGTATCTAAGGTGCCATATTGATAGACTTGAGAGGCTTTGGTCTGGCAAAGTGCTACTATTCTCTTTTATTATCAATCTATCTGGTATTTGTAGGACACACAGTTTATCCTAAAAGCATTCAGCTTAGAGAAAAGAAAATAAATATGGGAGTATTTCCACCAATAATTTGCGTGTAATTTGTATTAATGTTTCCTTTTTGTTGTTGGATCACCAACTAGTGAATTATCATCAAATAAGAATTCAAGATAATGCCAATAAGTTGTTTCTACACCTTTTTAGGGCTGGTTAATATTATGTTTCTTCTTATTTTCCTTTATTTTTGTTTTGTTTAGACAAAAGAGCTATAAATTGCGACTAATGAGATCTGTTTTTGTTTTTCCTCAAGTGATAGCTGGGAAAGGAGACTCTTGCCGCATCGGTAGTAATGTTGGATTTTGAGTCTGCATCTTTTTATATCAGGAATGCTAGTGAACATGTCCCTGGATATCAATGGGTGCATTACATTTTTTAAATTGCTGTAGTCTCGTTTGAGTTATTTGAGCATTGACAAAAAATGAGTTCAGACCAACGAAATCAGGTCAAGGTAAACCCAAATGCAACGACCCATTGACCTAGCTACTTCTTCATTTTCCATTTTCTGGTGGGATTCCACAATTCTTTGTTCCTACGGCCAAGTCTACAACGTCCCTGAAAGACTTCCAATTAATACCAACAACGCATAGGGGAAGCAAGCAACGAGAACTTTGTTGCCATTTTTCTCCACCTCAAGACACGCATGAGCATTTAACAGTTTACTTCTTTTCCATGGTCCAGTTTCTAATTTTCTTTAGCTCAGCCAGCAATTAATTTCTACCAATCAACCCTATAAATATCTAAAGAAACAATAAGAAAACTCACAAAAAAGAATTTGCAAAGGCAAGTTTTATGTATTTTTGCTTCAACTTTAAACAATGTGTGCAATGCCATTTCCCTTAGCTTACTGCCAATTAGCTGTTTTCTTCTTTAGCATTTTGCTGTTGCATGCAATTAATTGCCATTGCAAATTTTGTGATTAGAGCCAATCCTGGAAACGAGACAGATCGTATTGCATTGCTATCTTTCCAGTCAAAAATCACTCAGGATCCTAATGGGGTGATGAGGTCTTGGAATCAATCTAAAGATTTCTGCGAATGGGAAGGAATAACATGTAGTCGCAGACATAGAAGAGTGACCATCTTAAACCTGAGGTCAAGAAGATTGGTTGGTTCCATCTCACCTTACATTGGCAACCTCAGCTTCCTTAGGGAGATCAGGCTCGAAAACAACACCCTCCAGGGTGAAATTCCAAGGAAATTGGTCGTCTGTTCAGGTTGCGATTTCTACATTTGGGCAACAATTCCTTGGTTGGACAAATTCCTGTCAACTTGTCCCATTGTTCCAGGCTGTCATTTTTACATGTAGGCAGGAACATGCTCGTAGGGAAATTTCCCTTGGAGTTTGCTTCTTTGTCAAATCTCAAAGAACTAGCCATACACTTCAATAATTTGACTGGAGGAATTCCAACTTTTCTCGTAAACATTTCCTCTCTAGAAGCTCTATCTGCTTCTTATAATGCTTTCGGAGGGAACATCCCAGATTCATTGGGTCAACTGAGGCACTTAATATCTCTGGGACTTGGTGGAAATAACATCTCTGGTACAATACCTCCTTCCCTGCATAATCTATCTTCTCTTGCTATTTTTGCTTTGTTTGAGAATCGACTTCATGGAATTCTTCCATCAAACTTGGGCCTCACTCTTCCTAATCTTATATGGTTTCAAATATCTGAAAATTTCTTTAGTGGATCAATCCCATTCTCGTTGTCCGGTGCTTCAAAACTTGAATTTATTGAAATGGCTAGGAACAACTTTTCTGGGAAATTACCAGTCGATTTTGGAGGCATGCAACAGCTTTCTGAGATGAATTTGGGTGAAAATGGACTAGGAGGTGGAGAACCTGATGAAATGAGATTTATCAATTCTTTGGCCAATTGCAGCTAATTGCAATTTTTGGTTTTATCAGTAAACCGATTTCAAGCCGTATTGCCTAACTCATTTGGTAGCCTCTCCACTCAACTTTTGCGCTTGATCATTGATAGGAATCAGTTTTATGGAACCATCCCTTCAGGTATACAAATTTGTTAACTTATATTTGTTAACAATGGAAAGGAACCAATTTACAGGCAAAATCCCTACAGAGATTGGGAAACTTCATAAATTGCAATGGATGGATTTTCACAGTAACAAACTTTCAGGGGAAATTCCTCCCTCCTTAGGAAACCTGACATCGCTGCTAGAGCGTCATCTACAAAATAACAACTTACATGGAACCATCCCTACTAGTCTTGATAAGTAAAGAAACTTGGCAGTATTAATCTTTCTGGAAATGGCTTATCAGGGACCATACCTGAAACAATTTTTCATATGTCACCTCGCACAATCTCACTAAGACTGTCTCAAAACCATTTGGTTGGAAAATTACCTTCAAGCATTGGCAGCATGAAGAATCTAATGAGACTGGATGTTTCCAATAACAACTTGTCTGGTGAAATTCCTCTTGAACTCAGTAAACGTGGTAAGCTTGAGATTCTTTACATGGAAGGAAACTTCCTTCAAGGATCCATTCCTCCATCTCTGAGTTCTTTAGGAGGTATCCAAGTGATGGATCTTGCTCGTGACAACTTGTCCGGCCAAATTCCTAAATCCTTGGAATTATTGGCCTTGATATACCTAAACTTGTCCTTCAATGATTTTGAGGGCGAGGTACCAATGAAGGAAGTTTTCACCAATGCCAGTTCAATATCTGTACTTGGTAATGCAAGACTTTGTGGGGGCATACCTGAACTGCAGCTGCCTAAATGCAACACCAACAATAATTCCGAGAAACAAAAGAATTCCCTATCATTTAAGGTAATAATCTCAACATCATGTGCCTTCTTGGGAATAGTAGTGGTGGCCTTTCTGATTTTTTGTTGGTTTCAAAGGAGAAGAGAGAAACAATCTTCTACTCCCATGCTGAGGAAAACCCTTCTTAAATTATCATATGAAAGCCTTCCTAAGGCTACTGATTGATTCTCTTCGACAAACTTGATTGGTCTTAGTAGCTTTGGCTCTGTGTATAAGGGAATCCTTAATCCGGATGGACTGACAGTCAAAGTACTTAACCTTCAGCGTCAAGGAGCCTCCAGGAGTTTTTTGGCAGAGTGCAAAGCCTTGATAAATATCCGACACAGAAATTTGTCAAAATCATAACTTCTTGCTCAAAGCTCTAGTCTACGAGTTCATGCCTAATGGGAGCTTGGAAAACTGGTTGCATCCTGCTTCAGAAGGAGAACAAGCTGGAATTCCCAATCTTAAGTCTTCTTCAGAAAATAGAAATTGGGATCGATGTGGCCAGTGCATTAGATTATCTCCATCACCATTGCCAACAGCCAATCCTCCATTTTGATCTAAAGCCTAGCAATATTTTTCTGGAGAAACATGACTGCTCGTGTTGGTGACTTCGGCCTTCTGAAATTTATTCAGGAACACTAAAATCCAACTCAAAGCAGCTCACTTGGAATTCGAGGAACAATTGGATATGCTGCTCCAGGTAACCACAACTTACAGAACAAATTTTCTCTTAAATATAAACGTGCCTTCAACATTTGAAACAACAATGCTTCACCTTATTCTAATTCATAATTTCATGTGAAAATTTCTGTTAATGGCAGAGTATGGTCTAGGAAGTGAAGTTTCAGCAGATGGAGATGTGTACAGCTCTGGAATTCTTCTATTGGAGATTATGACAGGGAAAAGGCCAACAGATGCAATGTTTGAAGGAGGTCTAAACCTTCATAAATTTGCTAGGATGGCCTTGCCAAACCAGGTGATGGCCATAATAGACCCAAAACTGCTGAATAATGGTGGAGAAGTGACAGCAGAAAACCACAGGCTGAGCCAAGCAAGTTCTGATAGAATAAAGGAGTGCTTAATTTCTGTTGTCGGGATTGCAGAGGCATGTTCAATAGAATCACCACAGGAACGTATGGATATTAGCAATGTTGTTTATGAGTTGCAGTTAGTTAAAAAAGCACTTCTTGGACCTCGGACCCGCCACTGCATACAAAAAGGCAGAAGGGAAAAAATTGTTCAAACTTTGAATTAACCCAGTACTTTGTTAATGTATCTAGTTAGTATGACTGTTACCTAAATGTTGAATAGAACTTGATTCTAACAAAAATGCAGTCTGTTGCTGTATCATTAATAACCATGTGGTATGTTGATAGAATATTTATCTTCTTATTAATTTTAATTATCAAATTTAATACCTGACAACTTCAAATATATAAAAAAAATGTATAATAAGAAATGCTAGATAGATCAGTCCTACTTAATTCACATTTTTTTACTTATCTTGTTATGAATTGCAGGGGAATGATCTCCAAAGGCTATGACAATATTATGGATTTTCAACTCTAGCCCTCCATGTGTATTTTTTGTTTGGACTATATATAGTTGTTGATGTAATTGTCTTAAACTGAAGTTTGTTATTTATATATTATTATATATATTACAATAAGATTCATGCTCCTGAGTCCTAACACCAACATTTGTTAACAACTAAATCTTGAATTCTCTCAGTTTTTAGAGTTAGAATTTTGTGATCAAAGTCAGTTGACAATCTAAGCATGATCATCTTTATCCATTGATAGGATTTAGGCAATACAATGCCAAATGCAATGTTAAAAGTAAATCAAAATGAATGAACTAGTAAAAAATGAAAACAACAAGAAGGTAAAATATCAATTCATAGGTTGTCACTTTTCAAGACATTTTTTTTTTACAAAAATGTAAACTAATTAAATTAAATTTTAAATTCAAAATGATAACCAAGTTCTTGACGAATAGAATTCATAGATTTCACAAGAATTTTTTTTATAATATTATAAAAAATATATCTAAATTTTATATCAATTCTTTATCGATTTAATATATTTAAAATTTTATACCCCAATAAGTAGAAAAGGCTCTTTTCCTCACCAACAACAAGCAACCTTTTTGCATACAAAATTTTATTATGATGAATTTTTAGGAAAAATATCAATGAGAGCTTATATAGAATTGTGATTAACATATTACTTATAAAAGTAATTTTGTAATTGAGATAGAGAACTGTGGTTGTCAATTTTGTAATGAGTGTTTGTATAGAGAATTATAATTAAAAGCATATTTTCCTAAAAAATATTATTTATAGGAAAAATATGAATCGTACTTACACTAAGAAATTAATTTGTTCTTAAAAATAGTGAAAGTATTGTATTAAATGAAAGAAAATATAATATAAAATAGTACTTTGACCAATGTTGAATATTTTAAGCATACACTATTTTTAAATCAAATAAAACCACAGTTTAACACTCTAAAAAATCTAAAATAATAAAAAAAATTCTTAAATTTTATAACTTTATTTAAATAAATTTTTATTTTTATTACATTCAAATAAATTTTTAATTTTTAATTTGAATTCATATCAACCCTTAATTTTTAATTTGTATGCAAATAAATCCTTTAACTTTTAATTTGTACTTAAATAAACTTTTAATATAAATCATTTTTTCATTTAAAATAAAAATTTATTTTGATGTAAATCAAAATATAAAAATTTATTTAAATACAATAAAAATATTTTAAAAAATAAAATAATATAAAGATCTTTTTTAATATTTTAACCTAAAAAAAAAAAAAAAGGAATATATGATGCTGTTATAGCCTTCAACCACTAGTCAATCATCCATGCAAAAGTCCAAACCATATTCATAAAGTTTCATTAGCAAAAAAAATAAATAGTTAAAAAAATTAAATGCACTAATTTTTCTAAAATTAAAGTTTTAAATATAAAAATCTATAAATAAAAATTAAGTAATTATTCAAATTTTTATTATTTTTATTGTAATAAATTAAACTCTTAAATATTTATTTCACTTAATTGAATTTTTATTAGATAAAAATTTATTAACAATCAACACTCTTTTTTTTTTTCAATTGAAGATTTAATTGGATGAAAAATAAATGTTTAAGGAATAATTAAATTAAAATAAATGTTATAAATTTTAATTAATTATAATAAAATAATAATGATTTATATTATTATTTAATTTAATTTTAGAGACTTTTATATTTAAGCTAAAAATAAAAAATAATATCAAGTGCAATTAAAATAAAAAAGAAAATAAATCTACAAAAAGACACAGTCACACAAAGCCAAACCCTCTCTCTCTGTCTTAATTCCTCGATTCCTCCGGCGATTGAAATCCAAGCTATGGCGAGCCTATGGCGGGCAGCAATGTCACTAACGGAGAAACAAATCAATTACGACGGCGTCGAATTTTGGTCGAGCCCGGAACGGACCGGCTGGTTGACAAAACAAGGCGAGTACATAAAAACCTGGCGTCGCCGCTGGTTCGTTTTGAAGCAAGGGAAATTATTCTGGTTCAAGGAATCGTCTATCACACGTGCTTCTCGTCCACGCGGCGTGATCCCTGTTGCTACCTGTTTAACTGTTAAGGGAGCCGAAGATATTCTGAATAAGCAGTATGCTTTTGAGCTTTCGACGAGGACCGAAACGATGTACTTCATTGCGGATTCGGAGAAAGAGAAGGAGGACTGGATCAACTCGATCGGACGGTCCATAGTTCAGCACTCGAGATCGGTTACGGATTCTGAGATCGTTGATTATGATAGCAAGCGATGATGATCCGACGGTCAGATCCATTTTCATTTCATTTCCTTTCCTTTTTCTAAATTTAAATTTATGTAATTGAGCTCATGTTGTGATTCTGTTGTTTGTAATTTTTTTTTTTTTAACGTTTGTGTTTATGTAAGGTGAAAATACTCTTTCTGTTTGGTAACGATCAGATTGTAAATTTGTGCCTATATATATATATATATAAAGTTGAAATTTTGTTTTAGTGAAGTGATAATTGATCAAATCTTGTTTTGAATATGTTGGTTGACTTTTGCAATTTGATTGTGAATGCCACTGGTTTTCTAGACTCCCTTTCGCTTTACCTGAAAGATTGCAGCTTTGGAATTACTGATGTTTTGGGGATATTTCTGATGGTGGATTTTATGGAAATTTGAAACAAGTTTCTATAAAAGTTCGTGTATTCATTAATTTGTGATTGTCACTTTTTCTGTGTTGTTCAAATTAAGTTAGTTCAGAGGAGCAAATGTTAGTTCTAAGAATTTTTTTTTTTTTTTGGGTAATTGAGACTATCAGGATTTTTGAAACTGACAGCTGCTGCAGGAGGATCAAGTAAGCATGGTAAGTAGAGTTGTAGTTCATGTTCAATCGGTAAAATGATGACTGAAGACGGAGAAGACTTCCTTGTTTATTGCTGTCTAGGACAGAGCATGCATGTGACTTTAGTTCAAGGTCCTCTGCATATCTTTTTAATTATTTTTCATGAGAAAAAATGGCATACATTTTCAGTGAGTGTATATTGAAAGAGGGAAAAATGTTTGCTATGGAAGACAAATTGACATTTTCACACAACCACAAATATATAATTCATTTTCTAAAGCCAAACTTCTAAATGTCTCTGCATAAAATACTAGTTTAAATACTTTGAAAACGTGCAAAATTATGATGAAATATATCAAATATTGAATACAAAACATAGTCGATGTAATGTGAGTGCACTTGATTCCAATTCAGCTGTTGTTGCCTCTGCTTCTATCTTCAGTCCCCTCTACAAACCCGTCCGACGCAACCTTGTCTTAGTTGCATGTAGGTCTATGATAGCATCTTTTATGCTCATTCTATCACCAGGTAGTTCTGCAGAGCATGCAACTCCAACTTTAGTGAAAGAAACCAAGCACTCTCATATCTCTCCTTCCAAGTTTGGTCGACTTCTTAGTTTCTGCCTGTATTGATCAATTTCTTCAAGCAGGCGAAAATCAAGAATCTCCTTCAACCTTTCTGGTAGTGCCATTTTACAGAAATTATGAAGGCTTATGCCATCATGAAAGAAATCATCTGTTGGTCTCCTTCCTGTGATCATCTCCAAGAGTAGAATACCATAGCTGTAAATATCACCTTCCGGAGATATCATCCCACCCATGCCATATTCTGCAATAATTTGTTATGAACTCAAAAATCTTTTAATAGAAACCATGAGCATTCACCCCTAATACTAAAGAATGTTCTAATTAAAAGCCAATTAATTTAACCAACTATAACAATCTGATGGAGCTATTTTGAGAATTGATAAACAACATATGCACAAAAAAAACTTACCTGGAGGAACGTAACCAATTGTTCCCTTCATCATTGAGGAACTTGTCTGATCAGTACCCTGATTGCCAATGTCGCTAGACAGAAGCTTAGCCAATCCAAAATCACCGACATGTGCGACCATGTCATCATCGAGGACATTAGTAGGCTTTAGATCACAATGAACAATTGGCGTCTCACAATCATGATGAAGGTAATCTATAGCATTGGCCACTTCTACAGCAATGTCTAACCTTTGAGCAAGGTTCAAAAACCTTGATTCATGTTGTTCATGTAACCAGCTTTCTAAATTTCCATTAGGCATGAATTCAAAAACTAAAGCCTTGAAATCATTGCCCTGGTAATCAATGCTTGAGCAACGAGTTATAATCTTGAGAAGATTTCAATGTCAAATTTTTCTTAAAGCCTTGCATTCTGCCATGAAACTCCTTGCAGCCCTAGGGTTTTGAAGGCTAAATACCTTCACTGCAACAGGCTTTTCTTGTTGATGAAGAACTCCTTTATTTACAGAGCCAGAACTTCCACTGCCAACCAAGTTTGAAGAAGCAAAACCTTGGGTGGCTTGAAGAAGCTCCTTGTAGGATAGACGCAGGAAGCCCTCATCGAACAAAGCTACGGGGATAAGTGCACTTCCACACTTCCTTCTCTAGGAAAGATAAACGAGAAGCACAGCCAAAACAGAGCCAAGTAGAATGCTGAAGATCATAGCAATAATGACTTTGGTTGACAAGACCTTTCCCTTTTCCTTTGGTTTCTCACTGAAGCACTTTGGAAGCTCTATTTCTGGAATCCCCCCACAAAGTTTTTCATTTCCGAAAAAAGAAAATCCACTAACATTTTTAAAAACCCCTCCTTTTGGCACTTCACCCTCTAGGTGGTTGAAAGAAAGGTTTAAACTCACTAAAAATGGAAGTTTTTGAAGTTCAGGTGGTATGGTGCCAGACAAATTGTTATTGGAGAGATCTAAGTATTCAAGAGATCTCAAGGAGGCAAAAGATTGAGGAATGTTACCTTGAAATGAGTTTTCCTGCAAAGAAGAGGATTCTTAGTCCTAAAATCTCACCAAGTGCCTTGGGAATTTCGCCAAGAAATTGTTATTATCAACGTATAATTCTACGAGATTCTTCAAATTACTCAAATTTGATGGAAGGAGTCCAGTGAAAGAGTTGTGAGAGAAATTAAGATAAACCAAACTTTCAAAAGCACTAAATAGCTGATTTGGAATACTCTCATCGAGTTTATTTTGGGAAAGGTCTAATTTTTGCATTTTTTTGCAATTCCTGAGCGATAAAGGAATTGCTCCTTCAAATTTGTTATTGGATAAAGCAAGCACAGATAGTCTGGAGAGATTGTCAATGGTGGATGGTATTTTACCAGTTAAGTGATTCGAAAGGAGATACAATCCTTCAAGATTTTGAAGATTTCCAATGGAAATAGGAATTTCTCCAACAAGAAAGCTACTCCCAATAATCATCATGTCGAGGTTGACAAGGTTGCCAATTCCTTCAGGAATGCTTCCAGTGATCTGACTCCATCCCATGACAAGCGTTTGCAGCGAGCTTGATAAATTAGCTATAGAGTTCGGAATCACCCCACCAAATCTATTATATTGTATAGCCAAAGATTGCAATCGGCTGCAGTTTCTTGAAGAATAGAGAAAGTTAAGGTCTCCTTCTTTCCCACTTCCAAGGTCGTTACCAGAAATGGATAACTCCCGAAGATTCTTAAGGTTTCCCATTTTATCAGGAACTGATAATGTCAAATATTTGCAAGCTAGAGATATTGAGTATTGACCTTGGAATTGTTCCAGTGAGCTGGTTTTTCCGATGTATAGTGCTTCAAGATTTGGAAAAGAAAGGCCTATTTCGGGTGATAGCCTCCCAGATAATTTGTTTTCAGCTGCATCAATAATTATCATGGAAGAAAGATTATAAATTGGAAGAATTGAACTGGACAGGTTATTCACACCAATATAAAGGTGTTCCAAGTTAGATAATCTGCCTAAAGCATTAGGTATAGTTCCCTCCAAATTATTACCTTGAAGAGAGAGGACAATCAAGGATGAAAGATTTCCTAAAGAAGATGGAATACCCCCCAATTAAATTATTGATAGAAAGCTGAAGTACAATGAGATTCTTCACATTCCCTAACTGGAAAGGAATTTCTCCTGTAAGGTTATTGTAATCTAAATAAATCACTTGGAAATTTGAGCAATTGGAAAGCACTACAGGGATTATGCCTTGGAGATTATTATGCCCTAGAGCTAGCAAACGAAGCCGCCTCAAATGACCAAGTTCCCTGGGGATACTTCCTTGCAACCTATTACGAGAAAAGTTAACTTCTCTAAGGAAGGTTAAGTTTCCGATTGAAGGAGATATGGAGCCAACCAATTTCATGCTACTTACATTCAAAGATATTACTCTCTGGTAACGATGCCCACATCGAACACCTTGCCACTCACAGAAATGGAGAGAAGCATTCCATGAAGTTAAAGCTCCAGGAGAACCACCAACAAGCCGGTCCTTCAAAGCAAGCAAAGCTAGTCTGTCAGTTTCTTACTCCTCAAGGCCAAAGCACATTTGGAGAGCAAGGTGAATAGAACAGCGCAAAGCAGAAAGTACTTAATATGAATTATCCATTGGTTTTTCAAGCAGGATATATCCATTACTAAACGAAAATGAAGAGATTGGAAGTGAAGGGAACTGATTTAGATGGGCAACAAAACTGGTTTGATGAGGAAAAAAGAAGGCCTCGCAAAAATGAAGGTAGAATGATCTCTGATTCTTGTACAATCTTAATTTATACATCAATTTATTTGTTTGGGTTGATTGATTTATATATTTGAGATTAAGTTGTGAGATTAAGTGTTTGATTAATATATTTATAATTTTGTAATTAGTAGATTTATATATATATATATATATAAATAAATTATTTTGAGTTGAATTAAATAACATTAAATTATTTACGATTGGATTATATTTTCACTTAATTACATGAGCATTCAATTGATTAAAATTTTAACGTAACAATTAAAATCAAAGATGTAGTAATCTTAATAAAGGAACCCACGACTAAAATGCTCTAGTAGACTATTCAAAGTTCGAATACTAATTGTGAGGAAAATGACATAAAACCATGAAGTAGTCTTCACTCAATAGGGACGGGCCCTGGCTGAAAAAGCAAGTAAACATCTACTTGCGAAGAAACATTTTTTATTTGCAATTAATAATATTTATGATGAATTTAATAAATCAATAAATATAATTTCATATATTTTTAATAAAAACTATAAACAATAAAAATTTATCAATTAATTTGTCAATAATGTATGTATTTTATTATTATAACTTATATAACAAATCAAATTTGCATTTACTTTTTTACATTTATCTTTAAAAATATCTAAATAATTAAAATAGACAATTTAAAAAAAAAAAACACTACAAGAAAATTATTCTCTAGCAACAGAAAATTTTCATTAGTAAAAAAAGTCATTATCAATGGATTTACGATGGATTATCGATGGATCTCGATAAATCAAATTTATTTTTATTGACGGAATTAATGACAAAATTCAATCAATAAGGATAGAGAATTCCGTCGACAATGTTTACTACCTGTACAATCTGTTAGGATGCCATAAAACTTTCAATGATAAGCAAGAAGAAGCAACTACTAATGCAAGGAGCAATGCTGGTCTGTTCTGATTGTTGCATCTTTTGACATTTGTAATGATTATTCTTTTATTATATTTTAACAGAAGACATGTATCAAGTTTGTTATAATTTTGTAAAAGATTATTTTTTATCAATGAATTGAAGAATTTTATTTTTATTTTTTTTTGTTAAACACATTTTTCATAAAAAAAAAAAGCCTTTTTTAACTTTTTAGACAAAAAAATGCATTATATATGTGAAAAGGATCGATCCTTTTAGGATATGATCGATTCCAAAACAAAAATAATATTAGTGACAAAATTTTAGAATTGCTGACATAATTTCTGTTGATAAATCCCCTTTTAATTTAAAAAACTGTAAAGAAAATAGTTTTAGAAATGAAAATTTAAAATTACCGATTAAAATTTATATCCCTCAAAGGATAATTATAAAAATATTTCCATCGATAAAACTTAATAAGGATAGAATTTTCCGTCGCTAAAACTTATCTTATTACAGATGGGATCTTTCATTGTCAACAAAGTACTTTTAACAGCTTCAACTTTTTCGATAAAATATTACCAATGAAAATTTCGTCAATAATATATTTTAGTGATAAAAAATTTCGCTGCTAAAATTCTATTTTCTTGTGATGAAAAGATTTTAAAATTTAGAAAAAAATCAAGAAAAAAAATTGGAAAGAGAGCTAAATAAGGTTGTTACATTGACACCTCCACTTAGAAATAGCAACAGATCAAATAGGGGTGGGCTTATGCTTGTTAACACAACATCGAGTTATTATTTTTCACATCTTACCCCAACCCAACATATATATATATATATGTGCATAAGCGGAATTCGAATGACTTAACAACAAAATAAATTTAATAGTATAATATTTATGAAAATATTATTTTTAATATAAATTATATTTTAATTATATAAAAATAGAATATTTTATTAAATTAAAGTATTAAATAATAACTTCATTATTATAATACATATATAAAAATATAAAATTAGATAAATAATGAAATATTTATTCTTATATATACTTAAAGACGGGATGAACGGAGCATCCTAAATCTATTTTCAATCTGACTTTTATTTTCAAAAAGGGAAGATGACCCCACACCAATCGGATTTTAATTTTAAAATAATCATCTCTGTTAGATCGATAGGTTGAAACTCATTTAATATATGTTATTTTGCTATCATAATCTTCATTGACTGCATTTCTTATGTAATTTATCTCATTAAAAAAAGGTAAAAATAGAAAAAAAAAATGCAGGGTTAAAAAAAAAACAAAAGCCAAATGAAAGTGTCACCCACGTTGACACTTTAATTCTTTTCAAACATAGATAAGAAATATTAAAATAAATAATTAAAAACAAAAAAAAAGAAAAAAAAAAGGCCTAATAAAAAAGAAAAAAATGGGAAGCTACATAGACACTCATTTAAGGATGGAAACAAGTTGGGTTCGGGAATGTTTATGCTCATCTTGACTCTAATCCATTTTTTAAATAAATCAATCTGATTCCAATTATGACCTAACATCAAGTTATTATTTTTTTATAGCTAATCCAATATAACATATAAATTTATAACCTACATTCGACTAGTATTAATTCAAAATTATTTAAATGATTTAAATTTAGTATAATATTCATAAAAATTTTAATATAGATTACTTTTTAATTATATATAAATATAATATTTTTATTAAATTAAGATACTAAATAATAATTTTATTAATATAATATATATAAATATAAAATTAAAATAAATAATAAAATATATATTTTATATATACCTCGCGTGAGGTGTAACATCATAAACTTGTCTCTAACTCGATCCCTATTTTTAAAAAGAAAAAATACAATTTGATATTGAATTTTAAAAAATGCATCTATGGGATTGAGATGAAGTTATACCTATTGGATATAGATTGTTTTATTATCTCTATTTTTATTGGCTTATTTCTAACAAAATTTATTTAATTAAAAATCAAAAAGAAAAAATAAAGGAAATGACAAAAATAACTAAATAAAAGGAAGTCAAATGGGATATCACATGAACAATTTCATTGACCTTCTTTTTTCACAAAATTTAATATATAGATTAAGAAATAAAAACTAAAAGGAAAAAAAATAAAGAGCCAAAAAAAAAAAAAAGGAATCTGAATGTTACGTCAACATCTCCATAGGTTTTTTTTTCTTATAAAAATATCTAATTTTAAAAAAGGAAATTTGGAAAGCACTGAAAAAAGTTTTTTAATAAAAATATTAAATGAACCCCATACAAAATTTTAAAAAATAAAAATAAAATTATTTATTAAATATTAAAAAATAAAAAAATCATTGAATCAGTGACACCTGAGTAAAATTAATATATTGAATTGTGACTAACTTTGGTCCATATATGAATGTGACAAACATTATCCAATGTGAAATTGAGAAACTAAGTTCTTCACGTAATTAAGATCCAAGTATTGAGACGCAACTACTTAATTAGTTGTTTTCAATCTAGGGACAGAAAATTTTCAGCAAACATATTCATTAGATAGAGTTTTGGAAATTAAATTTACATAATCAACAAAATCTATGAAATTAGATTCTGTTTTGGTATAGCAGAACGAAATCAAACTAGAACTTAAATAGGAAATTTCATGGTAAAAGCATAGACATTCCCATTGAAATTGAACCTATGACTAAAATGCTTTAGTAAACTACTTTTCAGAGTTCGTATATTAATAGTAAGGAAAAGGACATAAAACTATGACCCTCTCTTCACTCAAAAGGGTCGGGTCTTCGATAGAAAAGCAGTAGGAAAATTCATGAAAAAAGTATAGACATTCCCATTGAAAGTTAACCCATGACTAAAATGCTCTAATTAATAGTAAGGAAAAGGACATAAAACCATGACCCTCTCTTCACTCAAAAGGGTCGGGTCTTGGATAAAAATGCACTTCCACATGCACTTGTGATGAAACGTTGTCCTTTTCTTCTTTTGTTTTCTGCTGTTGACTTGAAAGAATCGTGGCTAAAACGGTAGTCAAGAAAAACTTGTCTTTGCTGAAGGACATGTTGGCTCCACAACTGGGAGAAGAATTGCATGACACCATAAGGGAAACTACATTATTGCTCATACTAAAATTTTATAGTACTAAATTCTAGCTTTAAATTGTGACCATCTATTTATGAATGTGACATTTCCAACTATCCAAGTTGTGGTCAAATCGAGAACCTTAAAGTTCTTCATGTTATCAATTGTATAAATCATACTTTGATCAAGCCATCAGAAAAATCTCCCTAGTCTCTTATAGATCCGAAGTAAATCGCCAAACCCAGATTAATAAACAGTTCTGGTGCTTAAGTCCTGTTGAACTCGTAAACTCCAAGAGTGTTGCGAACATGAATACATCTAATATTTAATTGGCATATTACAAAGTAATTAGTAAAAAAAACAAAATGATACAAAATTTAACAACAAATACACTTAGAATCTTAATGATGCATTAAATTTTACATATGCTATTGCTATGTATATATATGTCACGTTGCGAAATCGAGACACAATACAATTATATTATCTTAAAGTAAAATTTTAAAGCAATATAAAACTTTTTTTAATAAAATATTCACTCATTTAAAAATATATATATTTGAAAACATGCAAAATATATCAAATTCTACTTGCTTCCTATCAATTTCACCACTTAGCTTTTTTTCCAAAAATAATTAATAGTCTATTGATGGTCATTTCAATATATCAAAAACCAATCAACCCTTTTTGGAGATCATTTATACAAAAATAATTAAATTATACAAGAGTTAACTCAATTAACTAATGTTGGCAACCTGAGCTCTTTTCACTAAAATGATCATTTCTCAATATATATATATTCAGAATTAAGATCTTTTTAGTGCATTAAAAACTAGACTCGATAAATTTTTTAATCATATATGGCTCATCATGTAACTCATTGTAGATTAATTATAATAATTTGGGCAATCCACATCAAAATTTGTTAAAAAATGGCATGTATACTTTCTAGTAAAAATTAAACATTTATTCATATGAGGCTCAGAATTTAATTTCATTTGTTTAGTTGGAAAATAAATTCAATAAGATTTTCAAATATATATGATTTAATCTGTAATTTTTTATATAAAATTTAAGAAAATTTTTGTAATTCATTCCTAATGCTACTGCTAGATAGTTTGCATCCCCTTAAGTAAAAATTTTTCAAATTTTTTATAAAAAATTTGAAACAGACTTTCTCTTGTCTCGTTTAAAAATGAATTCAATAGTATATAATATTTAAAATAATATTTTATCTCTTAATATAAATTGTTATTTTAATCCATTGTTATAGATAATAACATCTTATTTAAAACAATATTTTAATTTTAATTTTTAAATATTTATTAACAATGAACACTCGTTTAGTTAAAAATTTAATTGGATGAAAAATAAATATTTAAATGTTTAATAGAATTAAAATAAATGTTAAAGAAATTATAATAAAATAATAGTAACTTTTATTATTATTTAATTTAATTTTAGACTTTTTATATTTAAGCCAAAAATAAAAAATAATATCAAATGCAATTAAAATAAAATAAAAAGAAAATAAATCAACAAAAGGACACAGTCGCAAAAAGCGAAACCCTGTCTCTCTGTCTCAATTCCCCGATTCCTCCGGCGATTGAAATCCAAGCTATGGCGAGCCTATGGCGGGCCGCAATGGTTAACGGTAAAACCGAACGATTATGACGACGTCGAATTTTGGTCGAGCCCGAAACGGACCAGCTGGTTGACAAAACAGGGCGAGTACGTAAAAACCTGGCGTCGCCGCTGGTTCGTTTTGAAGTAAGGGAAATTATTCTGGTTCAAGGAATCGTCTATCACACGCGCTTCTTGTCCACGCGGCGTGAGACCTGTTGCTACCTGTTTAACTGTTAAGGGAGCCGAAGATATTCTGAAGAGGCAGTACGCTTTTGAGCTTTCGACGAGGACCAAAACTATGTATTTTATTGCCGATTCGGAGAGAGACAAGTTTCTATAAAGGTAAATGTTAGTTCTAGGATAATTTTTTTTTTTAATTAAAGCTATCACGATTTGAATTTTGGTCATTAAAACGAGAATCCAACAATGATGTTGGCTGCTAAGATGTTATTATATGAAAATTTGAAACTGACAGTTGCTCCAGGAGGATCAAGTAAGCAAGGTGAATAGAGTTGTAGTCCAAGTTTATATTGGTACAATGATGACTAAAGAGGAGAAGACTTCCTTGTTTATTGCAGTCTAAGAGAGGGCATGCATGTGACTTTAGTTCAAGGTCCTCTGCATATCCTTTTAATTATTTCTCATGAGAACAAATGGCATAAGACGACATTTTCGGTGAGTGTATATTGAAAGAGGGAAAAATGTTTGCTAAGGAAGACAAATTGACATTTTCACACAACCACAAATATATATTTCATTTTCTAAAGCCAAATCTCTAAATGTCTCTGCATACAACAATCGTTTAAGTACTTTGAAGAAATGCAAAACTATGATGAAATATATCAATTACTGAAAACAAAACATAGTCGATGTAATATGAGTACAACTTTATTCCAATTCAGCAGTTGTTGCCTCTGCGCCTATCCTCTGTCCCGTGTATAAACCCCTGTCCGAAGCAACCTTGCCTTAGTTGCATGTAGTTCTATGATAGCATCTTTTATGCTCATTCTATCACCAGGTACTTCTGCAGAGCACGCAACTCCAACTTTAGTGAAAGAAACCAAGCACTCCAATATCTGTTCTTCCAAGTTTGGTTGACTTCTTATTCTCTGCCTGTATTGATCAATTTCTTCAAGCAGGCGAAAATCAAGAATCTCCTTCAACCCTTCTGGTAGTGCCTTTTTACAGAAATGATGAAGGCTTAAGCCATCTTGAAAGAAATCATCTGTTGGTCTCCTTCCTGTGATCATCTCCAAGAGCAATATCCCATAGCTGTAAATATCACCTTCTGGAGTGACTGCCCCAGACATGCCATATTCTGCAATAATAATTTGTTGTAAACTCAAGTCTCTTTTAATACCAAACATGTGTGTTCTATCTTAATTAAGAGTCGAAACCTGACACAGGCCAGCACAAAGACAGTTTGAAATTTCTTAAACAGCTTTTCCAGCTTAAGAGACAGAGTATCCTATGTATTTGCACATTGATTCGTCTGCAACTTAAAGAATGAATTTGCTAGTGAATGCTATAAATATGACAGGCTTGTTATCAAGACTATGATTCTACATGATGTTCTACTAAGGCAATTCATTTAACTGAAACAACAGAAAAGAAACATGAAATTTCACCTGGGGGAACATAACCAATTGTCCCGTTGATCATTGAGGAACTTGTTTGATCAGTACCCAGATTGCCAGTGTCGCTAGATAAGAGCTTAGCCAATCCAAAATCACTGACATGTGCGATCATGTCATCATCAAGAAGGACATTAGTAGGCTTTAGATCACAATGAACAATCAGCGTCTTACTATCATGATGAAGGTAATCTATTGCATTGGCCACATCTATAGCAATATCTAACCTTTGAGCAAGGTTCAAATACCTCGACTCATGTTGCTCATGTAACCAGTTTTCTAAACTTCCATTAGGCATGAATTCAAAAACTAAAGCCTTGAAATCATTGCCCTGGTAATCAATGCTTGAGCAACAAGTTATAATTTTGAGAAGATTTCGATGTCGAACTTTTCTTAAAGCCTTGCATTCTGCCATGAAACTCCTTGCAGCCCCACGGTTTTGAAGGTCAAATACCTTCACAGCAACAGGCTTTTCTTGTTGATGAAGAACTCCTTTATATACAGAGCCAAAACTTCCACTGCCAACCAAGTTTGAAGAAGCGAAACCTTGGGTGGCTTGCAGAAGCTCCTTGTAGGATAGACGCAGGAAGCCATCATCGAACAAAGCTACGTGGGTAAGTGCATTTCCACACTTCCTTCTCCAAGAAAGATAAACGAGAAGCACAGCCAAAATAGAGCCAAGTAGAATGCTGAAGATCACAGCAATAATGACTTTGGTTGACAAAACCTTTCCGAAGCACTTTGGAAGCTCTATTTCTGGAATCCCCCCACAGAGTTTTTCATTTCCGGAAAAGGAAAATCCACTAACATTTTTAAAAACCCCTCCTTTTGGCACTTCACCCTCTAGGTGGTTGAAAGAAATGTTTAAACTCACTAAAAATGGAAGTTTTTGAAGTTCAGGTGGAATGGTGCCAGACAAATTGTTATTGGAGAGATCTAAGTATTCAAGAGATCTCAAGGAGGCAAAAGATTGAGGAATGTTACCTTGGAATGAGTTTTTCTCCATGAAGAGGATTGTTAGTTCTGAACTCTCACCAAGATTCTTGGGAATTTCACCAAAGAAATTGTTATTATCAACGTATAATTCTACAAGGTTCTTCAAATTACTCAAATCTGATGGAAGGAGGCCAGTGAAAGAGTTGTGAGAGAAAGTAAGATAAGCCAAACTTTCAAAAGCACCAAATAGTTGATTTGGTATACTCCCATTGAGTTTATTGTAGGAAAGGTGTAACTTTTGCATATTTTTGCAATCCCTGAGTGATAAAGGAATTGCTCCTTCAAATTTGTTATTGGATAAATAAAGCTCTGTTAGTCTGGAGAGATTGCCAATGGAGGATGGTATTTTACCAGTTAAGTGATTCGAAATGAGATTCAATCCTTCAAGATTTTGAAGATTTCCAATGGAAATAGGAATTTCTCCAACAAGAAAGTTTTCCCTCATATCCATCCTGTTGAGGTTGACGAGATTGCCAACTCCTTCAGGAATACTTCCAGCGATCTGATTCCCTCCCAAAGTAAGAATTCTGAGCGAGGTTGATAAATTAGCTATAGAGTTTGGAATCACCCCACCGAATCTATTGAACTCTATACCCAAATGTTGCAATCTGCTGCAGTTGCTTAAAGAAGAGAGAAAGTCAAAGTCTCCCGCTTTCCCACTTCCAAGGTCGTTAGCAGGAGCGTTAAACACCAGAAGATTCTTAAGGTTTCCCATATTATCAGGAACTGATCCACTGATAACATTTAAGGGAATGTCGAATCCTTGTAAGCTTGAGATATTGGATATTGACCTTGGAATTGTTCCAGTGAACTGGTTAGTTCCGATCAATAGTGTTATAAGATTTGGAAAAAAAAAGGCCTATTTCGGGTGGAAGCCTCCCAGATAATTTGTTTTCATGCGCATCAAAAACTCTCATGGAGGAAAGATTATAAATTGGAAGAATTGAACCGGACAGGTTATTTGCACCAATATAAAGCCCTTCCAAGCTAGATAATCTGCCCAGAGCATTAGGTATAGTTCCCTCTAAATTATTATTTGCAAGAAAGAGGACAGACAAGGATGAAAGATTTCCCAAAGAAGATGGAATACCCCCAATTAAATTATTGAAAGGAAGATAAAGCTCAATGAGATTCTTCATATTCCCCAAGAAGAAAGGAATTTCTCCTGTAAGTTTATTCCCACTTAAATTAATCACTTGGAGATTTGAGCAATTTGAAAGCTCTAAAGGGATTATGCCTTGGAGATTATTATCCCTTAGACCTAGAAAACTAAGCCGCCTCAAATGACCAAGTTCCCTGGGGATACTTCCTTCAACCTATTATAAGAAAAGATAACTGCTCTAAGGAAAGTCAAGTTTCCGATCGAAGGAGATATGGAGCCAACTAATTTCAAGCTACTCACATTCAAAGATATTACTCTCTGGTGACGATGCCCACATCGAACACCTTGCCACTCACAGAAATGAAGAGAAGCATTCCATGAAGTTAAAGCTCCAGGGAGAACCACCAACAAGCCGGTCCTTCAAAGCAAGCAAAGCTAGTCGGTCAGTTTCGTTACTCCTCGAGGCCAAAGCACATTTGGAGAGCAAGGTGAATAGAACAGCGCAAAGCAGAAAATACTTAACATGAATTATCCATTGGTTTTTGAACCAGGACATATCCATTACTAAACGAAAATGAAGAGATTGAAGTGAAGGGAACTTACGTAGATGGGCAACAAAACTGGTTTGATGAGGAAAAAAAAAAGCCTCGCAAAAATGAATGTAGAATGATCTCTGATTCTTGTAAAATCTTAATTTATACTTCAATTTATTTCTTTGGGTTGATTGACTTATATATTTGAGATTAAGCGGTGAGATTGAGTGTTTGATTTAATATATTTATATTTTTTTATAATTAGTAGATATATATATATATATAAATCTTATTTTGAGTTGAATTAAATCACATTAAATTATTATTTTTATATAAATTATTTATGATTGGATTATATTTTCACTTACATGAGCATTCAATTGATTAACATTTTAACGTAACAATTAAAACCAAGGATGTAGTAATCCTAATAAAGGAACCCACGACTAAAATGCTCTAGTAGACTATTCAAAGTTTGAATACTAATTGTAAGGAAAATGCATCAAACCAAGAAGTAGTCTTCACTCAATAGGGAGGGGTCTTGGCTGAAAAAGCAGGTAAACATCCACTTTGCGAAGAAACATCGTCCTTTTTTCTTCTGTTGGCTTAAGAAAAACTTGTCTTTGTCCATGCTCAAGTTTTACAGTACTAACTGTTGCGGTCAATTAGCAATACGTCCGCCTTAGTAGGGGTCAAATTTTTTTTTATTTGCAATTAATAATATTTGTGATGAATTTAATAAATCAATAAATATAATTTCATATAAGTTTTAATAAAAACTATAAACAATGAAAATTTATCAATTAATTTATAAATAATGCATGTATTTCATTATTATAACTTATATAACAAATCAAATTTGTATTTACTTTTTTACATTTATCTTTATAAACATTTAAAAAATTAAAATAGATAATTAAAAACAAAAACACTACAAGAAAATTATTTTCTAGCCACAAAAATTTTTTGTTGATAAAAAAAGTCATTATCGATGGATCGATGATGGATTACCGATGGATCTCAATAAATAAAATTTATTTTTATTGATGGAATTAATGACAAAATTCAATCAATAAAGATAGAGAATTCCGTCGACAATGTTTGCTACCTATACAATCTTTTACGATGACATATAACTTTCAATGATAAGCAAGAAGAAGCAACTACTAATGCAAGGAGCAATGCTGGTCTGTTTTGATTGTTGCTTCTTTTGACATTTATAATGATTATTCTTTTATTATATTTTAACAGAAGATATGTATCAAGTTTGTAATAATTTTGTAAAAGATTATTTTTTATCAATGAATTGAAGAATTTTATTTTATTACTTTTTTCGTTAAACACATTTTTCATAAAAAAAATGCCTTTTTATTTTAATTTTACTTTTTAGACAAAAAAAATGCATTATATATGTGAAAAGGATCGATCCTTTTAGGGTATGATCGATCCCAATACAAAAAAAGAAATTAGTGACAAAATTTTAGAATTGCCGACATAATTTCTGTTGATAAATCCCCTTTAATTTAAAAACTGCCAAGAAAATAGTTTTAGCAACGAAAATTTAAAATCACCGATGAAAATTTCTATCCCTGAAAGTATAATTGTAAAAATATTTCCATCGCTAAAAAGTTAGTAAAAATAGAATTTTCTGTTGCTAAAACTTATCTTATTACAGATGGGATTTTTCATTATCGACAGAGTACTTTTAACGGCTTCAACTTTTTTGATAAAATATTACCAATGAAAATTTCTTTAATAATATATTTTAGCGATGGAAAATACGCCGCTAAAATATATTTTCTTGTGGAGAAAAGATTTAAAAAAAAAAAAAGACAAAAGCCCAAAAAAAAGAAAATTGGAAAGGGAGCCAAATAAGGTTGTCACATTGACACCTCCACTTAGGAATAGCAACAGGTGAGATAGGGGTTAGTTTATGCTTGTTATGACTCCCACACAACATCAAGTTATTATTTTTTTACATCTTTCCTCGACCTAATATATATGTATGCATAATTAGCGTTCAACCTGACTTGACAAAAAAATAAATTTAATAGTATAATATTTATAAAAATATTATTTTTGAATATAAATTATATCTTAATTATATATAAATAAAATATTTTATTAAATTAAGGTATTAAATAATAATTTTATTAATATAATACATATATATAATTATAAAATTAGACAAATAATAAAATATTTATTCTTATATATACTCAAACACGGGGTGAACGGAGCATCCTAAACTTATTTTCAATCTGACTTCAATTTTTAGAAAGAGAAAACGACCCTATCCTAATCGGATTCTGATTTTAAAATAATCATCTCTGTTAGATCGAAAGGTTGAAACTCATTTAATACATGTTATTTGCCATCATAACCTTCATTGACTACATTTCTTACATAATTTATCTGATTAAAAAAAGGCAAAAATAAAAAAAAAGGGCATGGTTAAAAAAGAAAAAAAAAAGCCAAATGAAAGTGTTACTTACGTTGACACTTTAATTCTTTTCAAACATAGATAAGAAATATTAAACAAACAATTAAAAACAAAAAAAGAGCCCAAGAAAAAAAAAAAAAAGGGGCCCCAGCAAAATAGAAAAAAAAATGAAGAGCTACATAGGCACTCATTGAAGGATGGCAACAAGTTGGATTAGAGAATGTTTATGCTCATCTGACTCTGATTCTTTTTTAAATAAATTAATTTGACTTCAATTCTAACCTAACATCGAGTTACTATTTTTTATAGCTAATTCAACACGACACATAAATTTATAACTTACATCCTACTTGTATTAATTTAAAATTATTTAAATTTAGTATAATATTCATAAAATTTTTTTAATATAGATTTTTTTTTAATTATGTATAAATATAATATTTTTATTAAATTAAGATACTAAATAATAATTTTATTAATATAATATATATAATTAAAATTAAAATAAATAATAAAATATATATTTTTTATATACCTCGAGTGAGTTGTAATATCATAAACTTCTCTCCAATCCGATCCCTATTTCTAAAAAGAAAAAAATGCAATTTTATATTGAATTTTAAAAATTTCATCTATGGGATCAAGATGAAATGATACCCATTAGATATAGATTATTTTATCATCTCTACTTTTATTGGCTTATTTCTTACAAAATTTATTTAATTAAAAATAGAAAAGAAAAAATAAAGGAAATAACAAAAATAAATAAATAAAAGGAAGCCAAATGGAATATCATGTGACAGTTTCATTGACCTTCCTTTTTTACAAAATTTAATGTATAGATTAAGACAAAAAAAAAAAACTTAAAAGAAAAAAAATGAAGAGCCAAAAAAAAGAAAAAGAATCCGAATGTCACGTCAATATCTCCATTGGTATTTTTTTCCTATAAAAATATCTAATTTTAAAAAAGGAAATTTGGAAAGCACCGATAAAAGTTTTTTAATAAAAATATTAAATGAACTCCATACAAAATTTTAAAAAATAAAAATAAATAAACTAAGTTTTTTAATAAAATTTTATTTTTGAGACCATTTATACTAAAAACAACTAAGTTATTCAAAAATTAACTCAACTAACTAATTTTAGCAACTTGTGCTATTTTCACTAAAATGATCATATCTTAAGATACCCAACTCAGAATTAAGATTTTTTTAATGTATTAAAACTAAACTCGATAAGCTTTCTAACCATACATGACTCACATCTTAATTCCTTGTAGATTAATTGTAACAAATTTTGTAATCTACATCATATGCTGCTGTTAGATGGCATGTATACCTTCTAATAAAAATTACATATTTATTCATAGGAGACTCTAAATTCAATTCTGCTTATTTTGTTTCAAAGTAGACTCAATGTATGGCACAATTCTTAATTCCTTGTATAAAATTTAAAGCAAGTTTCGTAATTTAACCCTGATGCTGCTACCATACAGTCTATATATCTTTAAGTAAAATTAGACAACTCTTTATAGAAAACTCGAATTTGACTTCCATTTGTTTCATTATAAAGTAGATTCAACATGCTTTTCAGCGATATATAATCCTTATAGTAATAATCTATCAATTAATACAAAATTTTATTTTAA